TTAATAAAAGAAAAAAAGAAAGAGGGGGGGGGGGGGGGGGTGGGGGAAGAGAATGAAAATAAGAATAAATATATTCAGTAGAAGAAGAAATAATTTTTTTAATCAGTTTGGTAGAAGGAAAAAGGAAGAGAAATGTTAAAAGAAAAAAGAATATATATTAAAAAAATTATTTGTGAAAGTCTCCCAAAATCTTGGGGTGAAAGAGAAACAAATTTTGAGATTTTATTTTTGTAGTTTTTTCTTAAAAATTATTACTTCAAAGACTTCTATAAAAATCTTTAAAAATCATTGATATTTTGAATACTTCAAATTTTATAGAAAATTTTTAAAAAATTAAATGAATTACTTTAGAGAGTTTCAACTAATCTACATTGAATATTTTAAAATTTAATGAATCCCAAACAATCTTTAAAAGTCCCAATTAAATATACCCTCATAAAGCGGATATTGGTAAAATCTTTGATTGCAATGTCATCAAATTCATTACTTTATGTTAACGGAAGTACATATATTGTCTAGTGACTTAAGTATCTCAATTCTTTACTTTATGCTAAGAAAAGTGGACGTAGTGACAAATGGTTTAAGTATCATCTTAAATTTATAAGATAGGAAGTGGAGGTTCGACCTCCAACATCATCCCCCCCCCCCAAAGGAAAAAAAAAAACTTTTAAAAAAGGGAAAAATTCCAACCAAAATAATACAAAATACTTTTAAAAGAGTGAAAAATTCCAAGTCACCTTTATTAAATAAATAAATAATCAAAATACAGAAATATATATATAAATTTTAATATTCTTTGATAAAAAAGTAAAAAAATAAAAAAAAAAATCAACATTATCATTAGGCCATACCTATAGAAAGTAAATAACGAATCAATATATTTAAACTTTAATCATGAATTATTATTACTTTTAATAAAATTTTATAAATTTCATTATAAATTTATCCTTTTTCATAAACAATTGGATGAAAAAAAAGAAGAAAAATTGTTACAATTTTTAATTACAATTTAATCTTTCTGTGGAGAATTGACATATTGAGAGAGAGAGAGAGAGAGAGAGAGAGAGAGAGAGAGAGAGAGAGAGAAAATAAGAATAAATATAATCAGTTGAAGAAAAAATAATTTTTTTTTTATTTTTTATCACAGCTCTAGGTATGATAGAAGGTAAAAGGAAGAGAAATGTTAAAAGAATAAAAAAATATATATATTTAAGAAAAATTATTTGTGAAAGTCTCTCAAAATTTTGGGGTGAAAGAGAAACAAATTTTGAGATTTTACTTTTGTACGTTTTTCAAAAAAAATTATTGCTTCAAAGTCATTGATATTTTGAATACTTCAAATTCTATAAAAATCTTTAAAAGTCATTGATATTTTGAATACTTCAAATTTTATAAAAATATTTTAAAAAAATTTAACTGAATATACTTTGACTTTTAGAGAGTCTCAACTAATCTAAATTGAATATTCTAAAATTTAATGAATTCCAAAAAAATCTTTGAAGGTCCCAATTAAATATACCCTCATAAAGTGGATATTGTTGAAATCTTTGATTTTAATGTCATCAAATTCATTACTTTATGCTAACGGAAGTAGATATAGGGTCTAATGACTTAGGTATCTAAATTCTTTACTTTATGCTAAGGAAAGTGGACGTATTCACAAATGGTTTAAGTATCATTTTAAATTTATAAGATAGGGAGTGGAGGTTCGACCTCCAACATCCCCCATGTGTGTGTGTGTATATATATATTCTTTGATAAAAATAAATAAATAAAAAATAAAAAATAAATATTATCATTAGGCCATACCTATAGAAAGTAAATAACCAATCAATATATTTAAATGTTAATCATGAATTATTATTACTTTTAATAAAATTTTATAAATTAAATTATAAATTTTATCCTTTTTCATAAACAATTGGATGAAAAAAAAAGAAGAAAAAATGTTACAATTTAATCTTTCCGTGGAAAATTGAGAGAGAGAGAGAGAGTGAAAATAAGAATAAATATAATGGTAAAAGGAAGAGAAATGTTAAACGAATAAAAAAATATTTTTAAAAAAATTATTTCTGAAAGTGGAGCCAAAATGTTGGGGTGAAAGACAAAAAGTGAAAGACAAAAAAAATTTGAGATTTTATTTTTGTACGTTTTTCTTAAAAATTATTACTTCACGGACTTCTATAAAAATCGTTAAAAGTCATCGATATTTTGAATACTTCAAATTTTACAGGAAAAACTTTTAAGAAAGTTAAATGAATACATCATAATTTTTGGAAAGTCTCAACAAATCTACATTGAATATTTTAAAACTCAATGAATCCCAAAAAATCTTTGAAGGTCCCAATTAAATAGACCCTCATAAAGTGGATACCGTTAAAATCTTCGATTTCAATGTAATCAAATTCATTACTTTATGCTAACGGAAGTAGATATAGGGTCTATTGACTTAAATATCTCAATTATTAACTTTATGCTAAGGAAAGTGGAGTAATTGATAAAGGGTTAATTTCACAAACGGTCGCTGAACTTACAGAAAAATTACAAAACGGTCACTGAAGTTTAAAACTTTCAGTAACAGTCACTTGAGTATTGGGATGCTTTCAAAAATGGTCACTGAAATTTAAAAATTTTTGAGCTACTTTTGCGGCAATTTTTCGACCACTTCCGATCACTGACACCACCGGATTTTGATACCGTTGGAAAGCCTATAATATCCTCTTCAATTACAACAAAAAACTCCCCCAAACTCCAAAGGATTCAGCCAGAATAAACCCACAAAGTTAGACAAAAATCTGCTCAAATTTTCAGATTTTTGGTGGACTTTTGT